AAAAAAAGCATATTTGCCAGTAAAGAATATTTCACTTCGACCCTTTCTAAAAATCATTAAATTTAAAAAACTGAATACAGTTCAAAAAGCGACAAAATCATTCGCGAGTGGTGTTTAATAGCGAAAAATCATTGATCTAGTTCACAGACCCTACTGGTAAGTCAACCAACTGTTGTCCCCCACTTCCTCCCGACCTTGAAGTCATGCGTCACGCCCATTTAAATTTGCTCTAAATTAATCTCATCAAGAATCAAGCCAAAGTGCGTAGTATGTACTCATTCATAACCGCTGCAAAAACTACTTCTTTCTGTTACACATAACATATGTCAAGCAAAAACATCAAGCCATTAGTTCATGACGAAATGGAAATTTAGACTGGAAAAAATCAATTTAATTTCAGCACAAATTTGATGCACAAAATCCAACTTCACAAAACGCCAAATATGTACACCGAAGATAAAATACAGATAAAAATAGTAATTTTCAAACTCGAGAAAAAAATATTGCATCGTCTTCCGCATATTCGTATGCCGGCTTTCTCTAAAACTATATTGTTACCAAGCTGTATGACATATCTAATGAGCGACATACGTTACCCATTATTCAGTCATTACGAGTGCACACAGCAGATCACCTGGGAGATACTCCGATTAAACGAGAGACACCAACAACCGAAAGGAAAGGTGAAAAGACAGTAGCGGAATCAAGCTGGGTGACTTACCAGGTAACTAACGGCAAACAAATTTGGTCACTTTTGGCATAGTGCCATCACTGACCTTGGCATCTCATCGGTGGACTTTTACTGCGGTGCGCTCCAATCGCATTTTATCGAGAAATATTAGTAACGTCAATCTGGTGCGGTCAGACTTGTATCAGAGCTAGTAATGTATGATCATTTATAACTGTTCTGCCTTGATTTGGTCATATAATAGAGGAATTTTGAATACATTATTGCTTGACGACAATGGCAGCCCGAAGAATGGGAAACTTTTTCTGTTCTACCCGTAAAATTGTTGTTAACATTGCGATCAGATGTGCGATACCATTAAAAATGTTTATCAATGAGGTGCATTTACAGTATCGAATCAAAGCTTCTTTGCATTCCATTGTTCACCCTAAAATATTTTTTTCTTTTTTCCATCGATAGTTCATCTATACCTTCTCTTAATAAATCTTCTGAGTGTATTGGGCTTATCTGATACAATTTTAGGGAACTCTACCCACGCTTTTTTTACTGTTCAAAGATCTGACTTTCAGTGGGCTTTCGTTCACCGTATGCCTTTATAGTGTAATATTCGGGTGGAAGAATGGCACAGTGAATAAATGGGTTGTATGCATCTTGAATGTCACAACAGTGGTAATCACCGTTGGTAACAGTTACTTTTTTTACACTAGAGATTTTTGATGAGGTTAAAGCAGTTGCATTTTTGGACGTTTTTGTCTTTCTTCCTCCTTTTCTGTAGGACCAGTCCAATGCTGTTCAACTTCCGGAAGACCTCTGTATTCCTTCACCACCACTTCTCACAGTTATAGATTAGTCTGTGCTCTGTGATGTGTTAATTCTCACAGAAAATTATTTTTAGTTGTTGATATAATGCGGTGAAGACTTTTGCTTGAATCAAACCTGAATTTTGCAATAAAATTCAAATAGGAATTGCGTATTTGTTTTTGAATTTCGAAAGATAAACGGAGTGAAGTTAGGAACTCCAAATAGGAAAAATGGCTGAAGGTATAAGCAAAAAAAAGTACCTTATGAGGGGACGGCATGCTGTAAACTGCCGTAATTTTCGAAACGATATTTGTGCTGCATTAAAGATTTTTCCAGTCTACGATTTTGCTCATATAGTATCGATCGTCAGAGGAATCATTCACGTGAATGCTGTATGTTTAAAGGCCGTTTTTACGACATATATTTGTATAATCAGCATGAGTGGCGATAAGGTGAACGTAAGGTGGTTACAAAGGAGAAAATTTTCAGATTAACTGAAGGATGAAAGCAGTTAAAGGAATAATTATAAAACAAAGAAAAAGAGGGAAAATAGATTTAAAAATCTAAAAAAGTTTTCAGTTTTTTATCCAATTTACAGTGCAAATACATAATGGAAAAGGTAGCAAAAATATTTTTTGGATATCTGCAGGAACCATCATTTATCTAATGCTCTTCCGCCTCCAGCTTCTCGTGGCTGCTTCTTCATGCTTCCTGTATTAGATCGCCAGTGATTCCAACTCGCCTTTTTCTTTCCTGGAAGCTCAAAGCAGAAACTATCCGTTGCAGTCACAATCGTATTTTAGACACAGCGTTTAGATTTTCGTTGGTCACTTCCGCTGTGGAAAGCAAAAACGACAAACATTGGGAAACAGTGCAGTAGTTGAGTGAAAGAAGGATTTGAAGCCCCGGTTGAAAGAAAGACTGCAGAAGTACTACAGGCCTGCGAAGCAGCATCGAAAATGAATTGCTATTAGTAGTCAGATTCTTAAAAGTAAAGGAAAGTTCGCTCAAAATTTGTTAGAACTGTGCCAGGTAAAAACAGGGCATCCAAAAAATTTACAAATGAAAAAATACAGTTGAGCTATTTGAGAAAAAAACTGTGTCTGTGCAGAATACAGTAATCTGGTATGAAACCATCTGACGTTGATGTTTTTAGCTGTTTACTGACTTTTGAGCATCATCATTAAAAGTCACAAGGTCAGGATTGAGTTGTTTTAGTGGAGGAGGAATCGACTAGGTTTCTTGTTCTTGGTTCGTTATTTTGTGATAATTTTATAAGATACTTTCACAGAAGTATTTGCAGCCAAAAAATGTTTTTTTCTGAGATTTAAAACAAGAGATTTTTTTTTTGCTTATCTTGAGGTCATTGGTACTTTTGTGAACACTACGATCATCAGCAGATGACAAATGATTATGCACTTTGTAGATAAACTTTGAAATAATGCAGTAACCGAAAGGTCGATGAAGAAGATAAAAAAAGTTGTCACAAATATTTTGAATTAAATAAAACATGAAAATTTTGGGTTCCAGGGGTTTAAAAAACTGCTGCAAAGGCGAAAAAAAAAAGTTGCAAAGAAACAGCACTTAATTTCAATGGTTCATATTTCACAATTAAATTATCGACATAAAGATTGATGGTTTTGAATTCTGCCTAATATGACCGATGAATGCCAATCAGATTCAACATTGGACCATATTTATAAACTTTTTAAACAGTAACACTTACACTGAGTTTTTAACTTCACTTTTTTGTCGTTTGCTGTTTCAAAGCACCTTAAACTGAGTCTATAAAAACTTATCTAAATTGGCAGCAGTCTGTTTGCATGTCCTTCAATAATCTCTAGGTTACCTATAAAATAACGCGAATTATTTCTTTGGGTGAAGTTTCAACTTTATGTGATGATTAATCATGCAACAGTCTAATCAGATTTCCTGTAAGTGTTCTATACGTTAGTCAAACATCAGTCACTCTTAACTTCAAAGTTGATTCTTCACCATTCCACTTTGATGTAATCTTTTCTTCGTTTGTTCTGCCTTTACAGCTTAATGATCATTAGCAAGAGCAAATACTTCTTATGCTACAGCAACTGTATTTCTACAGTGTAATTTTTTATTTATAGAATCTTTGAAGGAACTGTCGAACACTTAAAGATGCTCCGCCCATTTTGAACCGCATACCCAAAATAAAACTGACAGTTAGGAGCTGTTTTATTGAAAAACATTTGACTAAGTGAACGGAGTTCTTCAAAGCAGCGGTATAACAACAGACAACTCCGTTTCAAAAGCTCTCGTTGATACTGGATTGCGCAGGAAATTGATACGTAACCAGCCAGAAAGGATTCGTTACTGGACAGCCTGAGAAAAACCAACCTGAGAAAAATGTTTCCATCCATCTTCTGTATCTTCCTATTGTATTTTGCAGGTGAAAAAAACCTTTCTTTATATTAACAGTCACTTTATTTCTAAGTAAAAAGACTGAGTAAGCAGTAATCGGTAAGTCAAAAACTTCTGCTCTTCGTCTTTGTTGAAGCGAATACTCAGTACTAAAGAGGTAAAGATGTTGTTCTGAGATTTTCTATAGGGGCATTTCTTATAGTCCAAATTGAGTACTTAGCAGGATTTTAAAGTTACATCCGGTTTTCGATTTTCTCAAAAGTTTCTGTTTTTAATGTTGGTAGTCGTACAGAACAAATTTTCCTTGTCATTCCTGCTGCTTTTGACATTTTCTATTATTTTCTATGCGGTTTTTGGTCTTTTCGTATTTACACGTGCTTCAGCTCTAAATCAATTTCTAAAACAAGTTGTCACCTTTACTTATCGTAACAAACTTTGTTGACTCGACAGATTCTGAAGAAGAAATTGTTTTTAAACTTTTTTTGACGGATGTTTTATTGCTTGAAAGTTACAAAGCTGGTTGCAAAATCTCTCAGTTAAGTAAGCTGTGTTTGAATCTTTAAATACACTCACTTGTAGGCATTCATTATTTGTTAAATTCATATAAACTTTCTACCTGAATTTTTTATTGTATTGTCAACGGAAATAAATGCTGCTTTAACAAAGCAATAAACATTTGCCAGATGCTTACTTAAAACTGCGTTTCACACATCTGCTCAACACTTTTAACCAATAAATTCATAACAGCTATTTGATGATACTAAATGACGTTTTGGAAACGTTATTTAAACAA